TTGCGTTGGTCTCTCTGATCATTGTCTCCTTAACTCAGGGTATCCATCTGGCTTTGCCACGACTCCTTTCCTGTGCCATGGCCTGCAAACTCCAAGGCTGTAAACTGCAACAATCATAGGTCATCTATGTCCACATTTTGCCTAACTGTCCTTTAGGCTTGGTATCTTTATGCTTTTTTTTTTTTAATACTAACCATTTTAATTTAAATTAATAGCATTTCTGGAAGACCAATGCAGTTGATAGAAAATATAAAAACTTTTACTGTACAAATTTTACATCACATTCAAAAGAGCAAGTGTGTGCCTGTGGCCACGGAAGACACTGGTTTGACACACACTAATGAAATCTGGGCTAACACTGCAGCATCACACAAGCTCTCTAAACGGCTTCACATTTACATCTCCACCCAGCCCCCTAATCAACTCAGAACAGCAATGCAGGCTTACAGGACACACGGCTGCCCCCTGTAGTCACAAGGAGAAATGCCACTAAGAGGGCAGAGGGGCTCCAGCACCCTGCATGGATTTGGTGACATGGAGAGGTCAAAGTTGCTACACTGCCCACGACCAACAGGGAGCTTGCTAGGACTGAAGACCTTGAGTTGGACAGAGACCCAGGGACTGCAGCTCTGGTGGCTAAAGGCCACCAGGCTTGGTATCCAACTTCTTGAAAATTGTCTTTTCATATATTTTCTCTGCTTTTTAAGTTGTTTAGCTGTTAGGTGGGAGAGTAAATCTGGTTCCTGTTATTCTCTCATGGCTGAAAGCAGAAGGTCTAGTCCTATCATTTTTTTTCTGCTCTGAAATCTTGGGTCTAAGAAAGATTTATACGTTATAAATTGGCTAATAAAAATTCCTCTAATAGCTTTTTGTTTTATCTTTTCATTAATTAGAAGCACAATTAAACTCTTACAAATTCTTTTTATTTATTTTGAGAAGGAGCGAGAATAAGAAAGGGAAAAGGGAGAGACAAAGAAAGAGGGAGAGAGAGAATGCCCAGCAGGTTCCATGCCCAATGTGGAGCCCAATGTGGGGCTTGATCCCACAACCCTGAGATCATGACCTGAGCCAAAATCAACTGTCTAACGCCTAACCAACTGAGCCACCTAGGCACCCCTCTTATAAATCCTTATAAATAGTTCAGTAAGAAATACTTGGCAAAAGTAAACACTGGATTTAAGTATGGTGACTACCATGTCCAGTTTTAAATAAAATCCTTTTATAATAGCATACATAGAAATTACAGCATATCTAAGCTGGAAACAGTCTTTCATCTCTTAAAATTAATATTGTATAGAGGTGTTGTGTTAGCAAGATGGGAAGGGTAAGAGATACCAATGCTCATCTCCCCCCGAAACAACAAAACAATAACTAACGACAAATAAAACCGATCTAAGAAAGCTCTGGACTACAACGAGGAAGCAGTAAAAACCTTGTGGGGTTCTATGGCCACATAGAAAAGCATAGAAAGAATTTTACCCATCCCCCAGTTCAAAGCAGTTTGGTGTCAGCAAATCCCTTGGAGGGATTTCATCCCACAGGGAAAAAAGAGAGCAGGAGAACCCCAGCAAACCTCATCAGTGTAGCGGATTGTGCACTGTTGGTGGGAATGTAAACTGGTACAACCATTATAGAAAAAAGTGTGGTGGTTCCTGGAAAAATTAAAAATAGAACTACCATATAATCTGGCAATCCTACTCCTTGGTATTTATCCGAAGGAAATGAGATCATCATCTTGAAAAGATCTCTGTACTTCCATGATCACTGCAGCATTATTCACAGTAGCCAGAATATGGAAACAACCTAAAAGTCCTTCAATGTGTGAATATAAGGAAAAGGTGGGGAGCACATGGGTGGCTCAGTCAGTTAAGCATCAACCTTCAGCTCAGGTCATGATCCCTGGGTTCTGGGATCTAGTCCCATGTTGGAGCTCCCTGCTCAGGAGGGAGTCTGCTTCTGCCCCTCTCCCTGCTCATGCTCTCTCTCTTGCTGTCTCTTTCAAATAAATAAATAAAATCTTAAAAAAAAAAAAAAAAAAGAAAAGAGGGCAAGGTGCGCACACACACATGCACATACCCACACTGGAGTACTATTTAGCCCTAAGAAAGAAGGAAACCTTGCTATTTGCAACAACACAGATGAATCTGAAGGGCACTATGCCAACTTAAATAAGCCAGAGAAAGATAAATACTTTCTGTAGGATCTTAAAAAAAAAAAACAAAAAAAAAAACCAACAAAAACCCAAACCAAAAATACCCAGCCCATTTCAAAGAACAGAATTGTGGTTGCCAGGGATGGGGATGGTGGTGGTGACGGTAAATGGCTAGGGGAATAGGGAAAAATGCAGTTCAAAGGGTACAAACTCTCAGTTATAAGAAGCATTAGTTCCAAGGATTTAATGTACAGTGTGGTGAATATAGTTAATAAAACAGTATTGTAAACTTAAAAGATGCTGAGAATAGATCTTAAGCATTCTTACCACAAAAAAAGACTTAAGTATATGAGGTAGTAGATGTGTTAATTATTTGATCTTGGTAATCATTCCACAATATATACGTATATCAAATTACCATGTTGTACAGTATATAAAGTTGGAAAAGTGTTATGTAAATACTGAATTTTAAAAATTGCTAAAGTTTTGCTGCCTTTGTCCTTAATTTTAGGCTCTGGAGCTATATCCCTACTTGTGTGCTTAAAATATAAACACCCGATGTGTTTATGTCCCATTTAATAGTTAGTTTCCACATTCCCTTTCTGCACACTGAGAACTCATTTCTATATAAGCAATAACCAGGGTCAATAAAAATTTTCTTCATTGCATTTTGGAGCCAAAGGGCACCCGAAAAATTTAGTACTTATTTTTTTGTGAGGCTTAAAAACCAAAATGCTGAATTTAACTGCCCCACTGCTATGCTATAGGAGAGATGAGACTCAGTTATCACTCACCTTGGTTTTTCAGTAATTTAAAATGTGATATATCGAACTGAACTTAAGACTTAAAATGTGGCAGAACCATATGTATAATAAAACTACTATCTCCTAATCACATGGCTTGCTTCCTTTCTTCCTTCGGGCCTTTAGTCACATGTCACCTTTTTAGTGAGGCTTTCCTTGGTGATCCTTCTAAATCTTCACCTTCCCTGCCATCACCTCAACATCCTCTATTCTCCTTGCCAGGTTTATGGTAATTCCCACCACATCACAAGTTACATTTTTTATTTAAATTGTTTGTTGTTTGTCTCCAATTAGAATGTAAGCTCTATATTTTAGTCTGTTTGCTCACTGCTATCTCACCAGCATCCAGAATGGTACCCAGAATATATCAGATATTCAATAAATATTTGTTGAATTACTAAATTTCACACTCAAAGTGAATAAACAAGCAAGTTGTATCCTAGCCCATCGTTTAAATTTTTTGTCCAAGTAACCTGCTTGATGCAGTTTTTTTCTTTTTTAAGATTGTATTTATTTATTTGAGAGAGAGAGAGAGAGAGAGAGAGAGAGAGAGAGAGCATGAGCGGAGGTGAGAGGGGTCAAGGGGAGAGAGAAGGGCTGAGCAAGGAGCCCAAAGTTGGGTTCCATCCCAGGATCCCAAGATCATGATTTGAGCCTAAGGCAGACATGTAATCAATTGAGCCACCCAGGCATCCTGCTTGATGTAGTTTTTAAATAAAGTGGGCATAGGATTTCTTGCCCAAAGAAAAATATGCTCCTCTATGATGATACATAGTATCATGAATTAGTATACATCTCAAGAAGCAACTGCATCTTTTATCTCTTCACTATTAAACTGTGCTATTTCTGGTTTTTTTCTAAGATTTATTTGAGAGAGAGAGGGAGAGAGGGAGCATGCATACACATGTGAGGCAGGGAGGAGCAGAGAAAGAGGGAAAGAGAAACTTTAGCAGACTTCCCACTAAGCATGGAGCCCCCACTCAGGGCTCTATCTCATGACCCCAAGATCATGATCTGAGCCGAAACCAAGAGTCAGATGCTCAACTGACTGAGCCACCCAGGTGTCCCTGTGCTGCTATTTCTAAAAAGCAATCTCAAAATATTATGAGATGATGATCAATAGTTCTATCAAGGAAGTCAAATCATTTATGTACTAAAGGGTACATTTTTCAATTTACTCAGGTTGGCAGTCCACAAATTATCGTCTCAATTTATATGATCTAGCACATTGGCTCCCAATACTGAGAAGCTTTTAAAAATCAAATTCCTGACACTTCTCTTCCAAAACACATTAAACCTATTAAATTAGCAGCTTATGTAGTGGGACCTAGAAATCTCTTTTTTTAAAATTAATTATTATTTTTATTATTTTTTATTTTATTTTATTTTTTATTATTATTTATGATAGTCACACACACACACAGAGAGAGAGAGGCAGAGACACAGGCAGAGGGAGAAGCAGGCTCCATGCACCGGAAGCCCGATGTGGGATTCGAACCCGGTCTCCAGGATCGCGCCCTGGGCCAAAGGCAGGCACTAAACCGCTGCGCCACCCAGGGATCCCCGAAATCTGTCTTTTTAAAACATTCTCCAGCTGTATCTACTATATCGTCGAGTCAAAGACTACCATTTTAGGAGAGGCATTTCAAGGCTCCTCTGATGTGGTAAAGGTCACTGACTGGTAATACTTTTATACTTAAAGCTCTTCCAGTTCAAATTAATTTCTCCAATGCCCTCTGATGCTAAATTTAGGAGATGACAAAGTATAAATTTTTTGACAGGGTAACAATGGTAGTTTTTAACTATGATTAACATTCTTCAGGATAGTTTCCTAAAACTTATGAATATATTGAACACAAGAATTGGTTATGGCCAACAGAGTGTCCAAATGGTATACAGATTAGTTTTCTTTTGGTTTTTATATTTAACAATGAGAGCTGTAATGAAGGTTTTAATTTAAGAAAAGTGCAAAGGATAAGAAAGAAATTTACTAAGGAATAAGATCCTTGGATAAGATACAACTCACAGTCCAGGTTAAAATTTACCTTCTCATGGGTCGAGTTTTGAGATCCTTTAAGTACACACATCCATTTATTCGATGACCACGGGCCTCACCAAATGCTAAGAACAATCAATGAAGGATTAATGTTGATCAAATAAAATTAATGAGATAAATTTTGTGACAAGATCCTTGGATTTCGCTCACAAGCTAATAAATTATGTAATAAAATGATTTATTTTGGTAGCACTGATGAGATCCTAAAAATTTATACATATCTTAATATAAAAACATTATTACCTTAATTTTTAATGTTCCCATGTTTTTTTGTTGAGTAAATGACTATACGAAAAATTTAGTTAAAATGTATTAAGTTAAAAAAATGTATTAAGTTGAAAAGATATTAACAAAAAAGCAATATTAGAATAAAAAAGAAAAAATCATTATTATACATATTTTGATCCATATTGATTTACATGGCACTAGACACATTTTCATAGCATACACTGGTCCTTGCTTTTAGTTGAACTTTCTAAAAATACCTTGAATTGCTGTATCTGGATCCCAGCCTTCAACATCGATAAGGTACCTAAATTAAAAATAACATTTTAATTTTATAGAATAGGTAAGGCTGAATTTTAAAATTTTCTTCTCAAGAAGGCAGACCTAAAAATTCAGCACTTGCATCATTCTTACCTACATATAAGGTATCCTGTTCTGTTAATTCCATTGGTACAATGAACTCCAATGAGTTTACCTATAAAATGTAAAAAAAATAAAAGGTATGAAAAAATTCAGTGAAAAAAGTTTAACATGTTTCATACACAATTTATAATATAATTTTCAATAAAAATATCTACCACTAGTTGAATTCTTAGTCATTAAATTTAAATCTTGGGATGCCTTGGTGGCTCAGCAGTTGGAACGGCTGCCTTCAGCTCAGGGCATGGTCCTGGAGTCCTGGGATTGAGTTCCATATTGGGATCCTTGCTTGAAGCCTGCTTCTCCCTCTGTGTCTTGCCTCTCTTTCTTTGTGTGTCTCATGAATAAATAAATAAAATCTTAAAAAAGAAATTTTTAAATCTAATATGTTAGAGGCATACTATCAAAGATTCAGGAAAGAAACAGGCTTTCTGTGTTCACCCTATAGTATTAAAAGGTGAATTTTTAAGGATAATCAAATGAAGGACAAAGTTTATATAAAGCCACCCTGGCAGCCCGGGTGGCTCAGTGGTTTAGTGCCGCCTTCAGCCCAGGGTGTGATCCTGGAGACCCGGGACTGAGTCCTACGTCAGGCTCCCTGCATGGAGCCTGCTTCTCCCTCTGCCTGTGTCTCTGCCTTTCTCTCTCTCTCTCTCTCTCTCTCTCTCTGTGTGTCTCTCTCATGAATAAATAAAATCTTAAAAAAAAGTTTATATCATGATCATGAATAACATGCTTCAAACATCATTCAGAAAGAATTTTTAAAAAATTAAAAAAGAGAGAAAAAAATAATTTTAAACTTACTTCTTTGATATATTTTTTTTGAATTTTATTTATTTATTCATGAGAGGCACAGAGAGAGAGAGAGGCACAGACACAGGCAGAAGGAGAAGCAGGCTCCATGCAGGGAGCCAGATGTGGGACTCGATCCCAGGATTCCAGGATTATGCCCTGGGCCAAAGGCGGCGCTAAACTGCTGAGCCACCTGGGCTGCCCTACTTCTTTGATCTTAATTGTCTTTGCATTCAGTGAAATGTACCCGTACTTCCTGGTTAATAGTAAACACCATTTCTCCTGTAAGGCACATTATTTGATACCACAGTTGACGAATTAAAAGATGAATCTACTGACCTTGGTGGATGGGCCAGGAACCTTTATCTGCATGGTGGAAGGGACCTATCTTTTAAAGAGTTTCCCTACCCATGATGTTAAAATTTGAGTACTTCCCTAGAGAAGATGGATTCTAAGAGTCATATTCATCTCCTGGGTATCAATTTTAAGGAAATTTTTCAGTAAGATTCATGCTCTAGATGTTTTTTTCTTCACTTGTATTTACCTTATATTCACCTTTCCTATCCTCTCAACTGCCAGAACTTCTTAAAAGAACTAATTTCCTACCTCTCTTAAGGGCCATATGTGAAGGAAAGTTCAGGAAGCACTCATTCATTTAGTGTTTGCTAGGGCACTGTTTGCTTTTTTATTTTTTTTTTTAGATTTTATTTGTTTATTCATGAGAGAGAGAGAGAGAGAGAGAGAGAGAGAGAGAGGCAGAGACACAGGCAGAGGGAGAAACAGGCTCCATGCAGGGAGCCTGACATGGGACTCGATCCCGGGGTCTCCAGGATCACACCTTGGGCTGAAGGCGGCGCTAAATCGCTGAGCCACCCGGGCTGCCTTAGGGCACGGTTTTCAACTGACACAGAGTCCAAACCCGTATTTCCAGGTATTTAAATTACCTTCAAATACCATAAATTTCCAGGTGAAAATATTTAGAATCAATTTATAATAGATTTTAGAAACCTGTTTTCATTATTTTATAGTTGGAATGAAATGGAATTTATTTTTGTAGAAAATAATAGAACTAATTTATGGCCTTTGCATGTAGAAGAATGATGACTATCTGAAAATTTTTTCCTGTTAAATACATATTTTTTTCAAATATCTCCATATGGCTTTACACACACATACACACAACACAAAGGTGAGGTTTTCATTTAAACATGATAGGCAGGTAAGTCCAGTTGAATCTATCTGGCACCTCAATGAATTTAGAGTCTAGTAGGGGAAGAGCTATAAGAAAACAAAGCATTTATCCTAAGAATACATGATGAATGCACACCAAGGTGTTATGAGAATACATAAGAGTCCTTAAATTTGCACTGGGGCAGAGGAGGTTTCAGAGTAAAGTTTAAAAGAAACACTGAGATAATCTTGAGAAATGAGAGGAAGTTCATCAAAAACAAGATGGGAAAACATTTCAATAGGACAGTTGAGTGTGCAAATGCTAGGAGTATAGCACTTGTGTGGGAAATAGACACATGAAACATATGTGAAAAAAATATAAGAGGCTTTTATAGGGTGCCTGGCTGGCTCAGTCAGAGAGTGTGCAACTCTTTTTTTTTTAAGATTTTATTTATTATTTATGCATGATAGACATAGAGAGAGAGAGAGAGAGAGAGAGACAGAGGCAGAGACACAGGCAAAGGGAGAAGCAGGCTCCATGCTGGGAGCCCGATGCGGGACTCGATCCCGGGACCCCAGGATCACACCCTGGGCCAAAGGCAGGCGCCAGCCACCCAGGGATCCCGAGTGTGCAACTCTTAATCTCGGATTATGAGTTCGAGCCCCACGTTGGATGTAGAAATTACTAAAAATAAATAAATAAACTTTAAAAAAAAAAAAGAGGCTTTTAAAAAGGAAGCAAAAAATCAAGTCATGAAGCACTTTGTTAAGGAATCTGGTGCTTAATAGATGGGATACCACTGAAGGATTTTAAGTAAGACCTGATTACATGTGCATTTTGGAAAGAAATTCATGTAAGTTTGGAGGAATGACTGGTGGGAGTAGAGACAAGAAACCTATGCAGGAGGCCATTAAAATAACCCAGATCAGTGGGATGAGAGTATATCTGGGGAGGTAGGGGCAGGAGAAGGAAGATTAAAGAGTTCCGTTTTTGACTTGTTCAGTTTATTGGTGCCAGATAAACCTCATGGTGGATACAAGGTACATGTGAACATGGAACTCAGGAGAAAGGTTTGTGCAAGAGATACAGGTTTGGAGGTGAAAGTCGAAAACAGGAAAAGATGAGACAAAGTGAAGTGAAAAGACTTCTTTTTTTAATCAAATCATTTTACTGAGAGGATTGGGGAAGGAATGGAAGGACTGGGAGGACAATGAGATCTGACATCCAGGATCTCTCCCCAGCTCTGCAGTTGCCAAAAGCACAGAATCTTAAGAACAGGAGTCATCAAGGATTTGAGTAGAATAAATGGCAGAGAGGAGGTGGGGGGGGGGGAGGAAAATTATTAGCAAAGCAAACTAGGAAAAGGAAATTATTGGCTAGAAAACTGAAAACACTGAAGAACAGGTAGGAAAAAAATGAGGAAAACAGTATCATAGAAGCCAAGAGGAAAGTTTTAAGGAAGGAATGAATAGCAAAGGTTAAGCTTAAAGAGATCTAAGCAATATACAGATAGAACACTATTCTTTGGATTTCTACAAGCTTCCAACTAAACTACAATTAGAGAGCTGCAGAAATCAGATTATGGGTGGTCAATAAGAATCTCCTTAGTGAACAGTAATGAAATGGACACAGTGAGTGGGGACAACTCTTCTAAAAGTGTAATCAACAGAAGAAGGAAACAGTATGAAAGAAAGAATTAAGGTTTCAAGATGGAGAAGGGAGGATTATTTTAAGACATAGGAGAGGCCCGTGCACGTTTATACATTGGTATTACAGAGCTGAGGATATGAAAAAATGTCCTGAAGGCAGGGCTGAAGCAGAGGTGGAGGTCTGGTCTGCTTTTCTTAGGAAAGCAGAAGGAAGGACGAATATGTGAGTATGGATGCAGGTGAGAGTAAGAAAGGGATCTCTGTTTTCCCTGAGAAGTGGGGAGCTATGCTACCTGAGCATGAAGAAGTGTGATGTAGCCAAGATTCAGAAGGAGATGAGCGAGCTGGCAGGGGACAGGGAGAGGACTGCCAAGCAGCACTAAAAATCCAACTGAAACCCTTAACCATTGCCCCATGGTGGCACACAGCCACACTGTGGAGGCATCTTCTCTAGCATGCAGGAGAAGGGAAGGAGGACTGTTAGATTAAACTAGGGTTGAGTATTTACATGGTATTTTGGAAAATATTTCTTGAAGATCTGCTGGTGATTAATTTTTAAAATAAAGATAAAAAAGGGATGTGTATTGTTAAAAAGGAGAGAACAGGCCCAAACTGGAATCACTTATGCTAAACCCCACCAAAATTTAATACCTAAGTGCAGCTTCAGCTTCTCCCAGAAATGTGACTTTTAACAGCCAACTTGGAATGTCCTGAGCAGCAAAAGGAGATAATCGGCTGACAGACCCTTTGAGTTGCCTAAAGGAGACTGGCCTTACCTAAAATGATGCGTTCTTTGCTAATAATTTCCTCTCTGCCTTTAAAAACCTTTCTTTTTCTGGATAGAGCTCCTTTCTATTTGCTAGATGGGATGCTGGCCATTTCATGAATCACTGAATAAAGCCAGTTTGATCTTTAATTTACTCAATTGAATTTTTGTTATTTAACAGTGTCTTTTCAGCCTACATCTAGATTTTTCTTTTTACAGATTTTTTTTCTCCACTTGTTTTTTAAAATCAAGAACTTAAGATCACAATGTTCTAGTACCCAAAGCATTACAAACTTTTGGTATCATAAACTAAAATGTAACTTTACACTGCTTAGCAGTATCTAGTAGGAACAATGTTCTGATTCATTAAATCTATCTTCCTAAAATAAATAGTTTAACAAACAGGAATTACCACACCCCCTCCAATCCCCTTTGCCTAGTTTTTGGGGCAAATAAGCTTAAGAAGCTGTTTTTTATTTGCTGAGACAGACAAAGGAAAAATTAGAAGCAGTAGGTCCAGAGTAAGGCTGCTGTGTGCAGCTAGCATTGTAACCATTCCTATCAGCCTGAAACCCTGAAACCAATTCTACTTCTCAGCCTCCGTTAGCAATGCATCTGAAATAAGCCACTTCCAAGAAGAAGTAGGGCTTGTCTCCTGAAATTCTTCCCTAAGGCCACAAAACTAGGTAGGCAGTACCAACCTCATCCTTTTCTTTCTGTTCATTTACCTCAAAAATAGGTTTATCCTTTTTACATTTCTAGATGTAAAAATTGCTTAGTTCAGGAGACTGATGCAGGAAAGTAAGGAGCAATTGATATTTATTGTAATTACTTAGCTCAGGTACGGGGAAAGGTCAACGAGAAGAGAGAAATTAAGAAAGCTAAAAGTGTTAGGAAAGCAGAGTTGCTTTTTTCAGCCAGCAGGGCAGGCAGGGTAAGGAACATAAAAAAAAAACCTAGAAGGACTAACAGGCGGGGAGAGAAAGGACGGCATCCAAAGAGTTAGATCTAGTGGGAATAGGAGAATGAGAACTTTGCCGAGTGTAGGTGTCATTTGAGAAATCTATGCTTTAGACATACTGTCCATAAGTAGTATTTATTAGCCATTGAGACTAATCCTAGATACACTCTAGTTTACTAATTCTGAAGTTTAGTAGCTCTTATGACCCAGACAAGCAGGCAATCACTAGAGTGAGGATGCTCATGTGGCTGGATCACCTTTGAGGTCTTCCACAGTCTATGGGAAAGCCTCTACCAGACAGAAGTCTTTGGCTACTAAGCATTAAGACAATTGGATAGGGCCACATGGATGGCTCTGTGGTTCAGCATCTGCCTTTGGCTCAGGTAGTGATCCCGGGGTCCCAGGATAGAGTCCCACATCAGGCTCCCTGCAGGAAGCCAACTTCTCCCTCTGCCTGTATCTCTGCCTCTCTGTCCGTGTCTTTCATGACTAAATAAAATCTTAAAAAACAAAACAAAACAAACAATTGGATATAACACTTTGTTTTTTTAAGCAATCTTTTAAAACTATAAACATGTCCATTATAAAAAACAAAACACCTAAAACACGGGAAGTACAAATATGAAGACAAAAATCACAATCAGATGCCACTACTAACATTGTGATGTTTATCTTCACGGGTACGTTTGCTCATGTTATTTATAATTATAATTATGCAGTGAAATTGCCATTTACAAATATTGCACAAGCATTTTGCCAAGTCACTAAAAATATTCTTCTACTCGGTTTTTAACATCTGCCTATTTTTCCATATGTGTATGTAAATGCAGGAATTTAATCCAATTCCATATTAATGATCCTTTAGATCCCTTCCAATATTTCAGTATTATAAACACATCAGTGAACATTCTTGTTCACATGTTTACTTATACTTCTGTTTATTTAGGGAAGACATTCCCCAAAATACATTCATGGAATTAAAAGGTTTACATAAGGCTGTAAGTTTTATCTTTCTTTACTATATGAAGCTAAACTGTACACCAAAAAGACTAAGATATACCTTATTTTATGCTATATATTCTTTCAAGAAAAGTTATTTATAAGTCAATTTTAAAATACTGAGTTATATTTTTATCTGTCCTGAGGGTGTCAGCATTTAAAGAATGCTGTAGGGAATCTATTTGTAAAGCAAAGTCAATGCACCTTTTCTGTATGTTTTACTTTCTCCAAACCAAGTCTTTTTTAAGTGAGGGTCATGCACTGTAATCTAAGGGGAAATCTTTGATAATATCCTTTTAACTAGAAGTATATAAACGAAATATATATATCACCTTTAAGTGGTCTACAATAATTTCTACTAAAATATTCTTTATCAATTAACTAAAAACATTTTGATTACATTAAAGGTTATTACCATTTTCTGCATTTTCCCACAGGAACTTTCTGACCCACTTTTTGAACTGCAGAATAGTAGCATTGTCAGGGACTTCAAGTCCAACAGTATAAAGTTTTTTATAATGTATACTTTTAGGTAAATCCTAGAAATGGGAAAATAGAATGCAACAATTATAAGTTATTAAAAACAAATTCTTCAACTTAAAACTTACCAGTAATTCAGTATTTTTAAAATCAAGTACAATGACTATACTGAAGGTACACCTTAAATCAATTTGTGTTGAACTTTTTTTTTAATGTTAAAGATTTTATTCTGGAAGAGAGAGAGAGAGCAAGTGTGCAAATGGGGGGCAGGAGCAGAGGGAGGAGAATCTCAAGCAGACTCCCTGCTGAGCATGGAGCATGACACCAGGTTCCAGATCATGACCTGAGCCAAAATCAAGAGTTAGACACTCAACTGACAGAGACACCTAGGAGTTTCTATTTGTGTGGAACTCTTTTGTAGTCTACATGAAAAGAAGTTATAAAATAAGCCACATTCCTAGTGGCCAGTAACAGTCATGAGATAGGGATTCAAGTGATTAAGCAGGCACAGGGTCAACCTAATATACAAACAGGGCAGCCCCGGTGGCACAGCAGTTTAGCGCCGCCAGCAGCCCGGGGTGTGATCCTGGAGACCTGGGATTGAGTACCGCGTCGGGCTCCCTGCATGGAGCCTGCTTCTCCCTCTGCCTGCTTTTCCCTCTGCCTGTGTCTCTGCCTCTCTCTCTTTCTGTGTCTCTCATGAATGAATGAATGAATGAATGAATGAATAAATAAATAGATAAATAAATAAATAAAATACAAACTTAGAGTATTAACTCTATAGTTACTGTTACGATTCTAGATGTCAGCTTAGGCAATGTTTAGTAAGGCTGTTTTAAAGTGGTTACATGTTTTCCTGACTCATTCTTAAGTTTGCAAGAAGTCTAAAGTGGAGAGCCTAAAAATAGGGCTAATTTCATCATTCAAGTAAAATCAATTAATCAATTAGCAACATTCATTTAAAGAATATCAAGGTTGGCAGTGAGTGTAAAATGCACACAGTAAGGTCCTAGGCACAGTTGATAGTTTTAGAAAAATAAGAATAATGACCTCTGAATAGTTATATGCTGAATAAATATGCACAACAATTCACGAGAAGCTGTAAATGTTAAGCCTTGAAGAAAAAATAAAGTTTTGGATAGGGAGGGAGAGAAAAAAATTCCAAGTTTATGGAATGATTTGAGGCACAGAAAAATAAGAATGTTCATGAGATAGTGAAGAGATGGTTTGTTGTAAGAAACAAAGAGCATGATGAGAAGGGAGTCAGATTAAATTGGGCTTTGAAAAACAGGGAGAGGAGTTTAGATGTGATACATTTAAACAGTGGGGAGGGCTGAGAGAACTGAGATTTTTTTTTTTAGAAAGGACCTGGAATGGGCATGAAAATTACGTTTAGAAACAACTACTCAAAGAAGAATTAAAAAGGTTAGCTCCTGAAGAATGAGGCAAAAAAGCTAGAGAAAAAAAAAAAAAAAGAAAAAAAAAAAGCTAGAGAATATGAGACACACTTTAGAAGAAAAAAATCTATAGGGTTTAACTCTTGATAGAGGGCACCAGGAAGACAGAGGACTCAAGTGATCTGAACCTGACTGATAGGCTCAGGAGAAACAAGGAAGCTGAAGAGATTATGAATTTGTATTTTTGAGAAGGAGTGGTATGGAACTAAAGAAATGATGGTATGTTTAGTTATATGTGTGATGAAATTTGACAAGGCAGCAAAATATCCAAGACTAAGTGTCACCTAATCAGGGCAGGAATGACAGAGACACCTTGGATAGCACCAATCCAACTGAACAGCAAGGCTCAAGAGTTATTTTCTCTAGAACAAGGTTTTAAAATTTTCTTGCTCTTCAGAGCCCTTAGCTAAGTCCTGTCACTAAGACTTAGGGACAGGGAGGAGAGGATTGGAGGATGATGAGGCCTAGTGGATCCTGATCTCCAGCTTCGGCCAGTACAGTTCCCAGTTTATCTGCTTTATATAATGGGCTTTGGAGCAAGATTTAATTGAAAGGATTTTGCTGCAAAAGAAAGTTCAAAAAACACTATTGTAGAGTAATATGCATCTCATGTTTTTTAAATCTTTTTTCTTTTGCTTTCTTTTCCATCATGCTGCTCTTTCCCTCTGTTTCCTTGCTCCCCTTTTTGCTTTTCCTTTCTTATTTCTATGTATACTCCTTTATTCTATGTTTGTTCTCTTGAAAGAAAACATTCCATTTTTTCCTCTCTAAACAACCCATGATTTTTCAAAAAAAGGTATTACATGATCATGTGAAGGATTAAGAAGATTTCTAAGAAATTACACATGGAAAATTCTGAAATTTATATTGACATGGCCACAAGAGTTACTTTCTAAATGCCATATTAAAAAATCTTTTCTATTTCAAGACATATCTAACTTTACCTTAACTTCATAATATCTTGTGGTATATGTTAGATCGATAATTAATCCAAGCTCCACATTTAGTGCTTTTATTGCACTGATCAAATCTTTTGGTGTAAACTTCTGGGTTGGAGTAAGTCTCTGATTAACTGCCTATAATGAAAAATGAACAGCAATGTTACAAAATACAGATAAAATGTACCTAACATAAAACAAACAAGGAAAAGAAAACATAAGAAGGCAAAAAGAATCAATGAAAACTGTCATAGCTTTAAAGAACACTGTCAAAGCTCATAAGGAATTAGAGCTGTGAGAAGAGCCTAAACATACTTACATCTTTTGCTTCAGTGATTTTACATATGTCCTTCTCACCAAGGACTCAGAACACTTCAAAAAGAAACTATCCTGCTTCGGTGCTCTGGAATTTCCTTGCACCAAGTTCATTTTGAAGTAAAGTATTAACTATGAGTGAAAAATAATTTTGCAGTAGAATTCTCATTTGAGCTGAGACTTTGAAAAGTTAAATTAAAAAAAAAAAAAAAGGAAGAAAAGTTAAATTACTTGTCCAACCTCAGAGGCTAGATGGCAGTCAAGATTTTAACCCAGAAATTTTCATCTTTATCCAGCACATGATACCAGTTTGACTCATTTGATTAAATGCTCATTTTTCTCCCAGATATAAAGGTTCTAAGTTTCCATGTTTATATTAAACAGAGAAGAGTATAGAATTTTTAAAATGTTATCAAATGTTATACATGGATTGTCTGGAGATAAATCTATAGTTTTGGTCAGTGCCTATAAACTTATCAGCATTCTTCTAGACTGCTGTATTTGTTATTGCTCTCAGTAGTGTGCACTGATGGTACAAAAGATTTGATTTTTGTATTATATGATTAATAAAAAAAACCGCAGTTAATAATGTACTACAAAGCCAAATATAGATAAGTTTTTAAGATTAATTCAATTTGGAGATAAAAAGAAATGAATCGTATGCTGTAAATGAATGAACCTCAAAAATATGCTATGTGAAAACAGCTAGCCACAGGCTGTATGATTCCAGTATATGAAATGTCCAAAACAGGAAAATCTACAGACAGAAAGTGGATTAGTGGTGGCCAGGGGGAAGGGAAATGGGGAGTAACTACCAATAGGTACAGGGTTTCTTTCTGACAGCATGAAAATGATCTGGAATTAGTGTCGTTGATTACACAACTCTATAAATTTATTAAAAACCACTTGATTATATTCTTTAAAAGGGTGATCTTGGTGGTATGTGAATTAAAGTATTCATTATATTGGGACGCCTAGATGGCTCAGAGGTTGAGTGTCTGCCTTTGGCTGAGGGTGTGATCCTGGAGTTCTGGGATTGAGTCCCACATAGGGCTCCCTGCATGGAGCCTGCTTCTCCTTCTGCCTATGTCTCTGCCTCTCTCTTTGTGTCTCTCATGAATAAATAAAGAAAATCTTTTTAAAAAATGTATCCATTATATTCAAGTATACTTGAAAAGTAACTTCAAGTTACTTCTCAATAGACTAAAATCTCAGTATGTTAAAATCTCAATATACTACAAAAGTAACTTAAAGACCAGTGAAAGAGAAAAATCTAAGTTAAATTAGGAGGTCAGTATAAAAGATTCTGAACTCTGCTCACACATTACCAATGTCAGAGCAAATAGGAGAAACTAAAGCTGCCATGGGTTTGAGGCCATATAAAACATGGCATGGGGTTCAAGTATCTTTTGATTCTTTTAGGAAATGCTATACAATGGATTTGACAAATCAGTAAAGGAATGCTGATTTGGGGGGAGAGTACTCAAAAGTTATCCATCTTTATTTTGGACTACCACTTTTAAATAGGTCAAAACATGAAAAGCAAAAATAACAATAGGATTAAAGATATTTTCTCTCAAAAAGTATTTAATCTTGTTAAATGTTTTCAATAAGTTAAGTTGAATTGTTAAAAAATGAATTTAACTTGTCAATAAAAAGAAATGAAGTATGATACACACTACATGGTTAAATCTTGAAACATTTTGCTAAAGAAGCCAATCACCAAGGACAGATATTACATGATTCCATCTACATGAAAGGTCCAGAACAGTCAAATCTATGAAGATAGGAAGGAGATTAGTGTTTGCCTACGAGGTGGCGGGTGGGAGTGAGGGAGAAAGGGGAGTGACTGCTCCTGTGCATGGGTTTTTTGGGGAGGAAATGAGGAGTGATGAAAATGTCCTAAACTTGTGGTGATAGCTGCCCAATTCTATGAATATACTAAGAAATCACTGTAAATGTTAATAGGCGAATGTGATTAGGTGAATTATATACCAATTAAGCTGTTATTAAAAAAAATAATTCAGGGATCCCTGGGTGGCGCAGCGGTTTGGTGCCTGCCTTTGGCCCAGGGCGCGATCCTGGAGACCCAGGATCGAATCCCACGTCGGGCTCCCGGTGCATGGAGCCTGCTTCTCCCTCTGCCTCTGTCTCTGCCTCTCTCTCTATGTGACTATCATAAATAAATAAAAAATAAAAAAAAATTCAAAACTAGTCTCTTACACTAGCATGAACAATTAATACATGGCTGAAAAGGTTTACTGTTACTTCCATAATGTCAAACATTTTCTGGAAATTTCATATTTTTTATGAAAAAATAAGTAAACATGGATCATATTAGTCTCAATTCTCCTTATAACATAGGTAAGAAAATAATATACTTACTCCCTTTAAAGGAACTTTAAAAGCAATAAATCGTGTTCCAGGTACAGGATGTCCAATTGGCGTCACAGTCCTCCACCTACAATGAAAATAAACAACTGGGATCCCTGGGTGGCGCAGCGGTTTGGCGCCTGCCTTTGGCCCAGGGCGCGATCCTGGAGACCCGGGATCGAATCCCACGTCGGGCTCCCGGTGCATGGAGCCTGCTTCTCCCTCTGCCTGTGTCTCTGCCTCTCTCTCTCTCTCTCTCTCTCTATCATAAATAAATAAATAAATAAATAAGAAAATAAACTACAATTATAATAAAAATATTTTAAGGACTCAAGATGGTAAATAAGGTATTTTTTTTTTCAATAAATAGAGCCTCGTTTGTTGGTTAGTTGCTTTTTGAGTGCTATCATATACAAACTTTAATTTACTGCCTCCTCTGTCAAAAAACACAAAAACAGGGGGATCCCTGGGTGGCTCAGTGGTTTGACGCCTGCCTTTGGCCCAGGGTGTGATCTTGGAGTCCCAGGATCGAGTCCCACATCAGGCTCCCTGCATGGGGCCTGCTTCTCCGTGTTTCTGCCTCTGTCTTTCTCTCTGTGTCGCTCATGAATAAATAAATAAAATCTTAAAAAAAAAAAAACAATGGAAGGTTTTACATATATACAGCACTTCTACAGTAAAAAGGTGGGATTCATTCTTGATACAAACTTCCAATACCCAAAATGATATTTTGGGTTTTTTTTCTTGGGCAATAGTAAGAGAAGGAAAATAGTTTATGAATTTTTATACCATTGTCATTGATTATATATAAAATAAAAAGTGGTAATAGGTATTAAATATGAGGATAATAAAAGTAAAATATAAAAATCTACAGTCTTTTTAGTAAGTAGGAAACAAATCATTTTCTCAACGTGATTATTTTGGAGATGTCATGTTTTAATTTCTGATTTATCTTGAATTAAGAACTAAAGTTCATTAACTGTCATGTTTTAATTTCTGATTAATCTTGAATTAAGAACCATAGTTCACACTGAGGGGACACTTGACAGAATGAGCACTGGGTGTTATTCTGTATGTTGGTAAATTGAACACCAATAAAAATTAATTTATTAAATAAATAAATAAATAAATAAAATTAAAAAAAAAACCACAGTTCATTAACTTTAAACATTTTCATTTATCCATGATGACTTTTTATGAATGACAAAGTAGAGAAACCGATTTTTTTTAGAAACCAATATTAAAAATAACTGTTATATAATTATTCCCAAACTATTTTTGACAAATTCCAATTATAACATATGCAGATTTCTTAAAATTCCCTGCTTACTTCTCCAGCTTCATTTCCATACCATCCTTCCCTTCTGCAGGTTCTGGCTTCACATTATTTCTTTTTCCTCAGTCCTTCCAATGCTCCGTGCTATTCCTTCCACCCCCTTCTCCCATTTCACTCTTTCAGTCACCCTCAGCTTACAGCTCTAGTATCGGTTCTCAGAAGTGAGACTGTCATCCCTCACCCAGTACCATCACACATACCTTTCACCTTCCTTCCTGGTACTTAACAGTGTTTAAAACTATACACATGATTATGTGATTTTTTTTGGACAAATCATGATTTCTCTCTTGATCATAAACTTTGAGGGTGACCATATCTGTCTTTCTTCACAGTATAGTACCTGCCACCCCAAAGAGAATTCATAAACATTAAATAAATGTTGAGTAAGTTTGGTTTCGTAAAATCACTATTTAATGTACTGATTATATATGATTAACAGCTGACTTCTCATTAGAAACAATGAACATCAGAGGTAGCAGGATGACATTCAAATGATGAAAGAGGGACACCTGGGTGGCTCAGCAGTGAAGCATCTGTCTTCTGGCTCAGGGCACGATACTGGAGTCCCGGGATCAAGTCCCACATCAGGCTCCCTGCATGGAGCCTGCTTCTCCCTCTGCCTATGTCTCTGCCATTCTCTCTCTCTGTGTCTCTCATGAATAAATAAAACCTTTTTTAAAAATGCTGAAAAAAATACAGCAAACTAAGAATTCTATATCCAGCAAAACTATCCTTCAAAAAGGAGTGATAACTATGTTCCAGAGTCCTTTGTTTTGTAAGAACAGAAATTTGATTTTGATGACTTATCTGGAATTTAAAAATATAGTTTGTCAAGTTTTTAAATAGACTCCAAATGCTCCCAAAATCTAGTAACAAAACAATGATGTTGGACTAGGTTTCTTTCTCTTTAAAAATTAGAAAGTGACTTCCAGCACAAGTAAATAAAAGGCCTCACATTTTTACCTTTAAATAACCCATTAACTCCAAGATTTTTGCTCGTAACATTTTTAAAAGATCATTTTTTTTTTTTTGATGGAATTCACTTGAGAAATAAGATGTCCTGAATACTTAGGACGTTTATCATTTCCTTGACAACACATCAAATTCCACTATTATGAATGACATTCAATTAGGACTATGATAACTTTTTTGAGATTCTATTTATTTATTCAGGAAAAACACAGAGAGAGAGAGGCAGAGACACAGATATAGGAGAAGCAGGCTCCATGCAGGAAGCTTGATGCGGGACTCAATCCCGGGACTCCAGGATCACACCCTGGGCCGAAGGCAGGCACCAAACTGCTGAGCCACCCAGGGATCCCCTCTGATAATTCTATAAACATGTTCATCTTTGGTTCTGACATCAGTTGGAAGCTGTTCTTTTTGCATTAACAATACAAGAGAACCATATGTTAGCAATTTTAGACCATCTGCTAATATTGCTAACATTACTATAATATGCACTTCTTCCATTCATTTCCACAACTAATGTTTCCACAATGACATAAATGATAATATCTAAATAAGCTGGTGCTTCATTTAAATTATCTAGCCAGCTACTTAAAAAAAAAAAAAAAAAGAAAGTGCATCTATAAACATTCCCAACACTTGCTTCTGGAATGCAATACTTTTGCGGTTCTGGTTTTCATATAGATAAAATTTTATTAAGCTCTGGAAGAAGATAGAAATCTTTAGAGTACACTATACAAAGCCAAAAAAAACTTGCTTACAGAATTCTTGGACACAGTATAAGATAAAAGACAATTACCATCGCAAAATTAAACAAATAAATAAAAGATAGAGACTGCATGGAGAAAATCTATGTTCTGATTGCTACCAACAGATCAATAAGTTGTTAAGCTATCAATCATTCCAGCCATGTGAATGGATGAAAATACTAATTTAGAATTAACAGAAGCAGAGACAGAAAAATATTATAGACAATGTCTACTAGAAAAATCTCTCCACCTATTCAAATACTATCCTGTCCTTGAGGATTAGTTTAAAACATCATTTCTTTCATGAAGTCTTCCTTTATTACAATCCCCCTCCATGACTTAAAATCACAAAGAATAAGACAAACTGACCTCATGTGCCTCCTGTTGTAGTATACCGAGTAAGATATAACAATACTAATGTAGTGTTGTTGCCAAAAGACAAAGCAAAAAAAAGTTTAACCTGAATCTTATTAAAGAAACAATCATCAAACTCAAAAAGAAGGTCATACATAACCAACTGCCTAGATTAGGGATCAGCAAACTTCCTAAAGGTCAAAGCCTGAATATTTTAGGCTTGTGGGCCACATATCTGCCACTGTAGTACAAAAGCAACTATAGGCAATATGTGCATCAATGAGTATATAGCTGTTTTTCAATAAAACTTTTACTTATATGGGATTCCTGGGTGGCGCAGCGGTTTGGCGCCTGCCTTTGGCTCAGGGCGCGATCCTGGAGACCCGGGATCGAATCCCACATTGGGCTCCCGGTGCATGGAGCCTGCTTCTCCCTCTGTCTATGTCTCTGCCTCTCTCTCTCTCTCTCATAAATAAATAAAAATTTTAAAAAAAGAAATTAAAAAAAAACTTTTACTTATAGAAACAGTTGATCAGCCCATGGGCCATATTTTGCCAACCACTGGCCTATAGACTCTGAATAAAACAATGTCATGAAAGACCAAAAATAGACTATTGTAGATGGAGACTAAAGAGAGAAGTAAATCTATGCATGGCCTTTTTGGGATCAAAAACAAACTCCATCATAATTATATTGGGAAATCTGGATATGAACTATAAGAATATTGTATCAATGTTTAATTTGCAAAGTTTGATTATTATATGTGATTAGACAGGGACTTATCTTGTTTATAGGAGATACATGCTGAAGTATTCAGGAGTATACTGTCATGGCCTCTGCAACTAAATCAAGTAGTTAAAAAAAAGTGTGATAAGTGCATATGTATATATACATGAAGATCAAGCAAATGTGGCAAATTAGATTGTAGGGCAAAGGTTATACAAATATTTACTCTATTATTCCTACTTTTCTGAAGGTCTGAAATTTTTAAAAATAAAAACAAGAAACAAATAATAAAAAATATAATTGCAATACTCTGCCCTAAAAAAAAAAAAATCTCCTTTGAGTTCTTTCTTCTCTGAACTGCTGTTTCTGTTAATTAAATGAACTGTAGAGTTCAGCAAGCTATTATTATGTCTGAGTACCTAAATTTTTTCTGGTAAGTCTTATCCTCACAAAGCACTTGGTATAGGCAGTATGTATGTACTGTATGTTCAATAAACTGTCTGTTAATAAAGATTAGAATATGGCCATAAAAATATATGAACAAATATTTTCCTGAGCCATAAACCCCACCAAAAAATGACAAGTAGCAATAACTTACTTGATTGAAATAATATTTATAACATACATCAAATAAATAATATAGTAATTCTGGGAGAAATTAAACTGAAAGCCATGGTAAAGTAAATGAAAGTACAGATAACTGAGGTAATTTTACTAATATTGATTAGCCACTTCTGGAACCAGAGCTTAACCACATTCTGGTGAAAATTACAAGGTAGTAGTAACAATAATTTACATTCCTAGACTTTGAATTTTTTTTCAGAAACTTTCATTAATATTATCTCATTTGTTCCTTATGACTCTATATGGAATATCTATTTTTTAAGGTAGTATTACTTATCCCTACTTAAGAAATGAAAAAAAAAATGAGGCCAAGAGTTGATTGAAGTTACC